CAAGTGGCATTTTAACAGTAATGCCTTCTTTCATATGTTTGTAAATTTCATGCAATTATGCCAGGCAAGGAAATTTTACAACATTTTTAGGTTCCTATTAAAACATAAAATAAAAAAGTTATATAAGTAATTAAATAACTCAAAGAAAATAACATAATGTTAACTTATTTTTTTACCTCTGGCAATGTTGTTTCGATTTCTAACATAAGATTTTTAAGCCATAGAATAAAAAATCTTTTGCTTGGCCTATTGTTGTAAACTTGGAAGCGGAAAATGGCAATTGTACATCATTCTCACCCTTTCAAACACGTGTAATTGTCACCCTAACTTGGTCCTCTTTAATCTTTTGATAATGAATTGTGGACCAAAACTTGTATACTTGACCTTTTTCCAACTACGATTTATTATTTAACTACCTAATTAATCAACATAAATAATACTATAGATAAATTTTTTCTCACTTAATTTCAAAAATTTTGGCAGATTTCCCTTAAAAATAGGACCTTTCAAAATTTCAACAAAAATTAAATTCAACTTAGATCTCAATAACAATGAAATTCAAATCAAACTCCCAAGCCAATAATATATTATATATATATATATATATATAAATTTTACAAAGATTAGAAAAAATTTTAACAGAGCTTCCCCTTAAAATAAGATCTCTCAAAATTTTCAACAACAATTATGTTTAATTTAAATCTCAAGCAACTTAAAAATTTAAGTAAATTAAATAAATTTAAACATATAACGATTTCTCTAAACAAGTATAGATTCCATTATACTATCCAGCAACATTCATCTAAAAAAATTTATCATAAATAATTTAATTCATCTAAGCAAGTACAAATTTCATTCCTTTATCCAACAACATTCATATTCCTCACAATAAATTTAATTCCTCTATCCAGAAACATTTTACAGAAAAAAAGAGTTACATTAATTATAAAATAATAAAAGCAGCAAAAAATTATACATATATATATATATACACATCTCCAGTCAAGAAAATTTTCCTAAATCAAAGAAAAAATAGAAAAAAAATAATGATACTTATTTGTAATTTATAGGCACGAAAATGCAACCTAAAAAACCAACTTGAAGCAACATCCAACAATGGAGGAAGAGGAAGAAGCATCAAATGGAAGATTCACTTACAATAGAAGAAAGACTAAAGCAAATGGAGATCCAAATCAAAGCATGAGCTTTAACCACAAAGAGAAATGAGGAAAATGTACCTCAAAAGCCCCAAAATCAAAGAAATGGAGACAGAAATAGTTTCAAAGAAGGAAAATGGCTTCACAACAGTAGTAACAGAATTGACAAAAGCAGTCAGAGGCTTCTACAGGGGCAATAACAGTAGCGACAGCGGCGCACAGTGACTTCAACAGAGGCACGGTCAGTTCGGTCGTAGTTCTTCGGCGTCCGCACAGCACTTTAGAACTGAGAGAGGAAAGAAACTTGGAAATTTTGCGTCGCACTATCTGTTCATATTTGTTTATAAATTGCAAAAGGAAACGACGTTGGTTCTATGGAGAAAGACGTCAGTTTATGTTTTTAATGTCGATTCTTTATAGAAGCGACGTTAAAAACTTGCTATTTTTTTTACACATCAGTTTGCTTAGATAACCGATGTTAAAACACTATTTAACATCAGTTATTAGATAACTGACGTTTAAAGTGTCTCATTCTAAAAGAAAATTTTTGTATACTTACAATTTTGTCACCACCTTTTTTTTAACAACAGTTTTTTAAAAAATCGACGTTAAAAGGCGTTGTCAAAAGCATAATTTCTAGTAGTGTATGGGATAGTGACATCTCCTATTGGATTTTTTGAGGAGGGGAGTTTAGTTTGGTACTTAGGCTTTGTACCTTTGCATATGATCATATGTTGTATATAATTATTATGAATGATGGCTTGTAAATTATTGTGCTCATAATTTAATATTGATGATGAAATTATATGTTTGCATATATTATTAATGTGTGTGGTTGTAAGTTCGCATATATATGGTAAAACTCTGGGTTACTGTGACGTTAGTACTTACTCCTCTCTTTAACATTTTAGGTAAGCTTAACGAAGTAAAGGAAAAGCATCTGGAAACTTGGGGCTTAGCTTGAGTAAGCTTTAAGTCCCTTTTTAGTTTGTAGAATAATTATTTTCTAGTATAGGACTCATTGTTAATTTGGGTCAAGTTGAAAATTGTTTCTTATTTATTGATGATTGGCAAGGGTAATGCTAGCTGAGGCTTAAGGCCATAGAAATTGCATAATAGATCTATTTAAAGTAAATATTCTAATATAAAATTCTAAGTGTCGAGACATTTATTGAAATAAATATCTAAGTATTTATGAAGGGATGTGACATGTAAATCTACAAGCTTTAGTAAGCATAGACTTTTGTGTAATGGAATACTTATTTTTGGATTCTTTTTTATCTGTCATGGTAGACTCTTTTTTATTATGGTAGGGTGTTATTTATGATTTTAAATAGTAAGGGCTAACTTTTATAATCTTAGTAACCTTTTTAAATAGTTTTATCATTTCTAGTAAGACTAAATTTTTAAATATCTATTTATTAGATGAATTTCCATAACCATGATAGTTCCCTAAAATACAGATTAACTCTTTTCCTCTATAATCATTTTTTTAAAATAAATTTGAGAATTGGCTTTAAATCATTATACTATGGTAATTATTTTTATTGGTTTAAATATTTTTATTACCATGGTATTTGGTTAAGTTTTTAGTTAGTAAAAATTAGGGTGTTACAACCAACACCGCCATAACCTTGCCCACATATTCTTGCTATACTTAGCCCAAAGTTAGATAACAACTCTTGAACTTTCATCTTTAATGACAAAGCAGTAGTCTCCTTAACTTGCACTATACGAAGAAAATGCTCAACAATACATCTATTTTTATCAACATAACGCAAAGCAACAACCATTTGCTCCTTATTTGATTCATGGTGTAACTCATCAACAATAATAGCAAAACAATTAATCTCCAAGATCAAGAATAATAGCATTAGCTGTTTCAACTGCAACAGCTTTAATAATATTTGTTTGAATTTCATGGAAAGTCAATCAACCATTTTTAGGAGCATTTTTTTCAAAACAACTTGATTGATTGATTCATTAAGTCACTAAGAAAGCTGAGAAGTTCACAAAAATTACCTTAATTAGTATACTTACTAAACTCATCATGACCCCAAAAAGCTAATCCTTACTTTAACAAAAAGTAGACACAATCAATTGATGCATTCAAATATCTTTGATATAGGTAATGAACATGTCTAGGTTGCTTAAAAATTGCAACTTCAATGTGTTAATTTTGATTCGTTACATCTTGACACTTTTTTTCAAGCAATATTATGAGCATTGTTAGGACCTCCAACATGGGACATAGCTTTTCTTTTTTTATTCCAATTTGTAAATCCCTATGTCCCAAATATATCACCACCCAATTGCTTTTCATGATCAAGTCTAAAAAGATAACAACATAAGCAAAATCTGCATCATTTTTAATACTATATTCCAACTAGTTGCTAAATTCTTTAAAAATTGATGAGTGGAACATCATTCTAATAAGAACTCAATGCAAATACTCTTATTAAGCATTAATTTTACACGTTTGCTTAATTTGAACCGAACAAAAGTAAAATATGAACATATTGTGTAAGATCTAATTAATGGATTAGATAAGGCAAATCTAGTGTATGTGATAAGAAACTAAACAAATACATTTTAGCTGCATACTTGATTCGATTATAGTCGCCAAGTTACCTGAGCTAGTCAACCTCTGTTTTATTGTTTATTTACCTTGAGGTTTTAGAGTTATGCAACTTTTGGTGGGAAAGAACACAACGAGTTTGGGTTAGAGAGGGGAGCCAGCAATAGATTGTGTGTCAGGCCCATTAAGTATGTGATCATTTCACATAAAATGGGCTTTAAAAATTCAGGCAGGACCACCAATTATGTTTTCACAAATCAATAAAAATATTCAATGTAAGCCCACGTATAAATTTCTAACGCATGGCAATTAAGATATGCAAGCCACTAACTCTACAATTCTTTTCAAAAGATTAACTTGGAATTACTAATTATCTATCATATCATCTTCTTAGATCATACACTCATGCTATTTGATAGGTTACTCAAAAAAGTTGAAAGTCGGCAGTGTAGTGGTGCAACCTATGTCGATTTTCACGTGAAACTGATACATGATTGTTTAAGAATAATTTTCTAAATATTTAATTCAAAATAAAACAATTAAAACAGGGGGCTATAGAACCAGATTACTGCACACAGTAAAAATCAATCTTAAAACAATCATGCATATAACATCTTTCCTAATAAAAATGCAATATGTCTATAATAGATTCCAAATTAAAGGCATTCTAATGGTACGAAAATAATGAATTAGGTGATTGAATGATTAAGGAAACAAAATTAAGTTTGAAATGTTTCAAAAAAGCTCATCAAAATGGGAAAAGAATCCCAATTCCAGGCTAGTGAAAAGATTAGAATCACTTAATGTAGATGAACCCTGCTTTCAGATAGAAAAAATGCATTATTATGCATGATTAAACTGTTGAAATTGACTCCTTTTGAGAGAAATAAGAAAAATTTGTTGCCTACGTTGCCCCACATATATTGTAATGACCTTAAATTTTAAAAAAAAAAAAGTTCACCTAATTAATATTTTATTTAAATTAATTTTGTAGCAAGTGGAGAATGACAGTTTAAGTGAAACTTATACTAATAATATTTCTGATGATCTAGAGTTTGAATTTTATTAAATAAAAAAAATTGATATTATTTTGTTTTAAATTATAAAAAAATTTTGGGTTTTTCTCCTTGCAATTTTCCTTATGCCAATTTTGTAATTTTTTTTGGGCCTTTCTTATAATTTTCCCTTTTTTTTGTTCATATTTTTATATCTCTTACACGTGGAAAAGCATCGGCTTTCCCATTTCTTCCTCTCTTATTCTCTCCACAGCCAATATGTTCTCTGGATTCTTCACCATCAGTCCATTCTTCTGGTCCCCCTCATCGGTTTCAGCTACTCACCGTTGGTCTGTGCTCCTTCTCGCCGTGGCATCTCCGCCTTAGAGTCATCAGATTTTTTCTTCTGCTTCTCTTTTTTTGAGCGACAGAACCTGTGAAAGTGATAGAGAGAGCGTATGAAATTTTTCCTTCTCTTCACCGTCGATCTGCTTCTCTGTACCTCGCTGTCGACTTCCTTCTTTGCCGCCTTGTTCGTCCGCTACTCTTTTCTCCATTCATGTTGCCAGCTACTGTGAGGATGTAGTCACCGAATACTCCTCCCCAGTCGTTCTCCTCTGTTCTTTTCCTGATTTGTGTTGGCGTGTGTATGTTTGTCATCTTCAACTTATCTTCCTCCTCAGTTCTGGTCATCGTGCATGCATGTGGTAAGCTTCTTGTTTTCTTCTCTTTTGATCGAAAATTTTGCCCTTGCTTTTGTTTTATGGCTGCCATGAATTCTTCAGAAATTGAGGAGTTGAATTGATTTGGTTGCTGCTGTATATAATTTTATTGGGATGCCAAACTGAATATTGACGATAAATTTAATATGGGAAGAAGATTAAATTGTTGGAGGCTTGTTGAGAACTGAACTTTGATGAATGCTCTCTGGGTGTTTGTCAAAATGTTTGAGAAAAGAATTTAGTGAAAGAATGTTGTTAAGTTTCCATGTTTATCTTGGAGGGGCATGTGTTAGTACAGTACCTATTGGAAATTTCAAAATTTTTGATTGTTAATATTAGTTTCTTCTCAAATGTGATTTAAAGACTTGATTGGGATTTATTTTAGAATGTTTTGTATTATTCATAATGCTTGAGTAATGTAAGGGAGCTTGTCTTAGGAATTAAATGAAGAAAAAAAATTAGTACTAATGGAATTTCAATATGTGAATGTTACCAAGATGTTTTTTTTAATGCTTAAAGAAAGGAGTAAGGTGTCAATAGATTAATATAATTAAATTTGGAATTCATTGCCAAGAAAGAGGAAATTTATATTCTAGTTTAAAAGTTTATATTGATTTCGAGAAAACTTTAAAAAATTACATTTGAGCTTGAAAGTAGGGTTATTTACTTTATATCAAAGTGCTTGTTTCTTAACTTACATTGGAATGTAGATGGAGTGTTTGTTGAAATGTTTGAGGAAGGAATTGAGTTGGATTGAAGTAAGTATTAGAGTCTTATTGGGTATTTATTATGAATTGAACCTTAATACACTTAAGGTGTTTGTAAAAAAGCATGATAGAAAATTTGACAAAAATGCAAATGGTTTAATTTTCACATTATTAGTTTTAAAGGAATGTGTATAAGTGGTGGCTTGAGCCATTAAATTGGCATCTTGGGGTACTTAAGGGAAGTAATGTTAACTAATGGTTATGGCATTTCATTATGCTTTTAAAAAGGTACAAAAAGAATTGAAATTGCTAAGTTAATAATATGATAAGGAAATCGTTGGCTGAACATGCATGGTTGTGATGTTATTTAAAATTAATTTGAATGTCACTAATTGTTTGATGAATTAGTTGACAAGTGATATTGAATGAGGTAGAGGACTTGTTAGAGTAAAAGAATTTTGTTTACTGTTGACGATGAGGATATTAATACTTATTTATATTAAGAAAAAAAATGAATAAGTAATCTTTGAATTGTGATTGATTTATTAAAAAAATTAATGGCACCCTTGGAATTAAGTGAGAACTTGAAGTGAAGCAAGTTCTAAAATTATTGAAAAACTCCTAGGTGAGTAGGTGGTGTCTCAAAATTTTTTTTTGCAAAGTATTTATAAAAATTTTCTATTTAAATTTTTATATTATTCCTTTTTAAGTTGTATAAATATTCTTGTTCCTTGTATTTTATTATTTATACAATTCTTCTTACTTACCTTACTTTTATAATAATTGGTTCATCACAAAATTTGCTTTATTTTCATTAGGAATTGTGCTATTGTTAAGGAATATTTGGATCCGACATATTAATTATTAACTGATTATTTATTTTAAGCATTTTTGTTGTTTAAATTTTATAATTTATATGACAGTGGTTAACACGATGATTTGTGCATAGAGAGAAATTTGAAAACAAAATTTGATAGCTGAATATTATATTTTGAAAGAAATAATTTTAAATGAATGTTTCAATTTTATGCACTCTTGATTTTAATAAGAGGGATCGAGTTCAGAATGCTGAATGCTAACAGTAATTCTATTAGCCCCTGGCGCGCTATGGTACATTTAGGTAATAGGGTGGTTGTAGGAGGTGCTAGCCTCATACGCTGGCCAATGCATGTGGAAAGGAGGGATGGATATTCATGAATATTGTACTCACGCTTATTTAATAGGCTTAATGCCTGTGTTTGTTTCATAATTTTTAGCTGTGCTTGATTATTTTGTAACTTTAAGCTGCGTTTGTTGGTGACTTACTCTCATAGATTGTGTGTTCATAATTGTTAATTATTTATCCTCGTGAACTATGTGTCAATACTTGTTAATCATTCTGATTAAGTCCTATTAAAAAAGAAAATTTTGAAATTATTTCTTTAAATTTGATTTCATAAAGAAAATTGCTATTTTTACTATACATGGAATTTATATTGAGCAGTATGTGTGTGTGTGTATACATATATCCCAAAATGTTTAAGTATGTGTAAAAATTTAATGCTTTGAAATTTTAATAATTTTTATTTGTATTTATGTATTTATGGTTTATACAATTTTTAATTGATTATTTTAGTAAATTTATAATTGATTCATTGATTTGCTTTTTATTGTTTCCTTCAATTGTAATCAAGACGCTACTCATTGGATAAATTTTATTGGTCTTAAATATTGAAATTGACCCTATATTTTTTATTGATCATTGAGGGATACAATTGCTTTCTGAAACCATGAAAGCATGTGTTAGTTAATTTTGACATAAATATATTTTGTATTATAAAATGTTAACTTAAGGCTCCACGATGTCATAGTTAGATCCTAATCTTATTGTATTATTGTAAAAACTTGTTAGTGTGGAGCAAAGATCCTTTCAGGCTTGGCTGATAGGTTTTATTATTATAAAAATTTTGATAGATCTTAATTATAGGGGAGATTCTATTGAACTTTTTACATAATAGTTAAAACTTTATTAATGTTAAATTTAGATATAAATTATATATCATTATCCTGAATTAATTTTCTTTTTAATTAAAACTTATGGAATGTAAGTCTATTTCATATTTTTTTAATTAAAACTTATGGAATGTAAGTCTATTTCATATTTCGTGTTGGTAGCACTCTTAGTACTAGTGTGTAACATATATAACCATCGATCTATTAGCAATGAGAATCACATTATGCGATGAACACGGTAATTTTCCATGCTATCGTTGAAAGAAATAAAAAAATGATTTATTATAGTTTCAATGAAATTTTAACTTGGAGTTATCACTTTCAAAATCACCCAAGAAATTCCAGAAAGATAGTTCTGCGGTATATATGTTATAGGATGCTAAGTTTTAGAGAAACAATCAATATTAGCTTGTTATGCAACATTAGAAATCTATTTTTGATATGGAAAAAGTTAGCTACTTTTTTTATTTTTGGATAAACGAAGATAGCTAAAATCAGCTACTCTACTATGCAAGAAAGAAAACTAAGATCCTCAATAGGTAAAAGGTGAAGACCGGGAGGTAGTGCTAGTGCTGGTGCTCATTTTGCAAGACAATCAGCTTCCACATTTTCATCTCCTCGAGCATATCTAAGCTTCACCATCCAATCATGAGAGAGCATGTTGTGGCATTCATGGATCAAGCTCCAATTATCATCAACATCATTGTTTTCGTCCTTGATCAAATTAATTAAGAGCCTCTAAAGAGTCACTTCTTAGACAGGCCATTCAATGGCCCCCATCCCCAGCTCAACAGAGCCCAACAATACAAGCCCAAAGTTTAGCAATAAGAATATCTCTTTCCTAGAGTTTAAGCATAAAAGATTTGAAAGGAAATTGCTGATGATCTCTAATGATACCCCCATAGCTCGTATCCGCACTAAAATGAGGATAGGTTCCATCAACATGCATCGTAATCAACCTTAAGCAAAGTAAGATTCTCCTCATTCCTCATGGATCATTACTATAAAATATATATTTTACTATCTCCAATTCACATTACTTTCTAAAAATAGGAGGTAAAAAATTTTAAGTGGTGACAATTTCATAATTAAATGATGAATCTGAAAAATATCTACATTGCTTTTAAAAATAAAAAATAAAAAAACGACATGGTTAGTTGTTTCCATGGTGCTTTTTTGCAAGTGACGTGGATTCACTATACATATTAACGTCACTTACTGAAAAATTGACTTGGGTTATGATATCCACGTCACTTTTTAAATGCCTGACTTGGAAACTTAAAACTGATGTTACTTTTTTTCAGAAAAATAAATAAAAACCACGTCCCTTATTTTGTGAGAAACGATGTTGATAGCCCTTCACTTTCTCCACTTTAATGGCTCTAAGTCGATCTCTCATTCCATCAATTCCCCATTCTATTCTAAACCTTCATTCTCTCCAACCAAACTCGTCATCTCCATTCTCCACCAGCTTCACTTCAGCAACTTCGTCGTCGTTCTCCTCCAGCTTGACAACAACCTCGGCGTAGCTGTTCTAACCAGATTTGCTGCACTTAGCTCGTTGTCGCTGCTCAAGCTCGTCTATCCTGAAGCTCGATGCCTCCCCCAGACCAGATCTAACGCATTAAGCTCGCTGTCGTTGATCTTATCTTGTCCTCGGTCGTCTCCCTCTAGCTCGTTGTTGTTGCTGGTCGTCGAAGCCCTGCTATTGCTTTGCCGCCATGTTCCGCTGAAGCCTTTTTTGCAAGAAACTTTAAATGATATATATATATATATATAGATTTTTTTTCTAGCAACTGAATTCATAAATTATTTTGGCTGCAACAAACTAATATAATTTCAAATGATATTGATCTTGACCCATTAGTACCAAATAAGCAATTATACTGGAGAACGAAGTTGAACGGGGGGAAAAAACTAGAACATGGGTGTGCCTTTAATGATGTTATGAAAGCAGAGCCACGTGGGGTTGAAGACACATGCCTGGTAATGCCATCATGAAGTCGGGTGCTGAGTGGTATTGATCTTGACTCACCACATAAACAAACAGTGACCTTTTGGGCCGAATTTAATATATATATTTAGGGTGAATTTAATATGTTATTTAGTTTACATCATTTAAGATTCTTTAAATATTACTAGTGTTTCATCTATTTTCAAGTTTAAATGACTGATCTAATATCCTGCATGTTTTTTTTTTTTTTGGCCTTTTGCTCATTTTTTATCCAACTGTTTGCAGGGAGAGCCGGTAGATATGGGTCCAAGTTTCCCACTGGGGAAGTAACATGCTTTGATGCAGAGGATCTACCCTTGCTTCATTCATCATTAAATTCTCCATCCCCCACATTAGAGGTATCCTTCAAAGCACCTCATGCCAAGCATATAACCATGAGAAGAAACGAAAAGCTGCTAATAGATTTAAATCTTAATTTATGCTTTGCTAACTTGATTTCAGATCTTCTATTGTTGATTTTTGTTGTGATATATACTTTTTCATGCATATACATTCACGTTTACACCCCAAAGATAGTTTCACACAGATACCGGTAGGTTCGCATAATAGCCTAATAATTTGCATGTTATTCTCATTGATTCTTTATTTAAGTCTAAAATTTCTATTCTTAAGCTAGAAATTTGACAGTGTTGGCGGTTATTATCATTTGTCTCAATTGGTAAATTTTTTGGTATCTCATCTTAATTTTATGGGATTATTCCTACTCATTTGTTCCCTGATTCGATCTAAGTCAGATGTGATTCAGATCTGATACAACAGCTATTTTGCCTGCCCCTTTAGTTTCCCTTAATTTGTATAGCTTTGTCTAGTTATGACTTATGGGATATTCCCTCTCGATTCATGTAATTCTTCTCCATTTTGTTTTCCTACGCCTTTTTCTTATAATTCATATAATTCTTATGGGATATACTCTAGCTTCCTGTAAGTAATCTTCAGCACGCATGATATTTTTATGGGGTGATGATTTGTGGGAGCAATTCCTTTCTAATTGTGGTCCACTGCTATCAGATCATGGACTTGTGATTGGTAGTTTGGTTGTACAACTGACATACCATGATGAAGTCAACTATTTGTACCCTTTATCTATCAGATGTCAAACTTGAAGATTTGTAGTCACATTAAGATGCAAATAGCCATCAAGTTTAAGTTCTGACAGACACGGTCCTTGTGCAAACTTGAAGATGTGATTGTACTATGTTCTTATCAATTTTTTTTTCCTTTTTTGTTGCAGGAGTATTTTTTAGACAATGCCAAATTATCAGAAAATTATTTCATTGTTAATTGCAAAGATTATTGGTATGTTTAATTATAGCACCTTGCCGTTTAATCAAGGACATTTTATGTTGACGTTTCATTACTTACTATCATTTTGATTGCTTCCTTTCATTTAAATGTTCACTGATCTCCTTTTGGTTGTGATGTGGATATTGTTTGGAATTGCTGTCATCAGAAAGTCGCTGCTATTATTGATGAGTTCCCACTTGGATTGCATGAAAATTATCTGTTTTGCATAAGGCATACTTTTTTTCTTCAAAAAATTTACCAAGATTTCTAATGTCATTTCGACTTCTATGAATTGAAAGAGTCAGAGTGAACAAATTAGGGTGTCCGCACGTTTCTTATCTCTTTTCTTTTAACTAATACTTGTGATATTCGGTCCAGTTGACATAGATGATGAAATTTCGTCTCGAGGCCTTTACACAGGTAATCAATCTTTCTTTCATCATTATGAGATGCATTGACATCAGATTGAAGGGCATAAAAGTGACTATATATTTTTTTATCAACCAGTTTGCGGAGACTTATGCTAAGAAAGGCCTTGTTCAGCTTCGGGAAATATTTACTCCTGGTACAGTTAAGGTGCCTAAAGCACCATCTGCTCTCGAGGAACTTGAATCTATCCACAAGGTGAGGTTTATTTTATTTCTTTTAATTGTTATTAATCTGTGCTAGTATTCATTGTTGAATGTCTTGATTGACACAAGCACTAGTCCATTAAACACGATAGGGTATTTTTTTTAGATTGAGAGTGATTTTAAATCATTTTCAATCCAAAAAAATGCCTTTTTTTTTTTGAATAAAAGCTAGAATTTTTACCTAAGTTTTTAAGAAAAAGTGACATAGAAAGTCTATTCTTTATGTCATTTTTAAATGAAAAGTTGAAAAACCACGTCATTTATGATTCAAAAGTTAGGTGAAAAGTTGAGAAATCATGTTACTTTGAATTTAAAAGTGATGTGAAACATCTTATCCTTGTCTCTCCTAAAAGTGATGCGGATAGCTAACTTTTTATGTCCCGTTTCTTTCAATAGAGATGTGAAAAGGTTTTAAAAAAGCAATGTTAAAAGTGTTTTTTTTTTGTAATAGTGGATACATGAAACTTAACTTGTCTCAAGTTTAAATGGGCATCCTTATAGCTAAAAACAATAGCTTTAGCCTTCATATATATATGTGTTGATGGCCAACAATGATATTTAAAAAAAAAAAATTTCCTATCTTCATTTCTAGAAGAGCTAGCAAGTAATCACAAAATAATTCCTTTCAATCATATACATCATTTCCACACCATTGCATTGATGCTCAGAGAGCGCCAATTCCAAAGGTTTCAACTAAAACAAACTTGAGATAAGACCCGTTTTGTAATAAAAAGTCATAGGAACTTAACCTCATCACAATTTCAGAAAACATGAAGGGAATCCTCTAAATCATGATTGCACCATACATAAGAAGCTAAAGCACTCATGCCTCAATTTTTCTAAGCCTCATTTGTCAAAAGTTTATTATGAAGAGAAAGCCACAAGAAGTGTAATGACCTGGAAATTTAAGAATTTTTAAAATATGTAATAAATAATTAATGGACCAAATAAATCAACAATTGTAAAAAAAAGGGGCCAACAATTAGAAAAAAAATTAAAAACTCAGAATATATTTACAAAGTTAGAGTAAATAATAAAGTAACTAAGTATATTTTATTAATTTTTGAGAGAAAATTTAATAAGATTTATTAGTGGTTTAGTGGTAACTTTATTTGCTAAATGCCCTTCGGATTTTGGGTTTGAATCACTTTTTGCCCAAGTGAAGCATTTTATTTATTTTGGCCAAACCTCATGAAATTACCAAAATGACAATAATAAGAAAGCCCCGCAGGCATCAACTTTCACATTTTTCCTTCCCCATTTGCGATTGATTGTTCCAGAACCAAGGGGAGAGAGTGAGAGCTCGGTGTACCATCTTTCGTCCTCTATTTTAATCACCTATTTCCAACGAATCGTGGGTGTGCTATCCGCTGTTGCAAAGGGCTCTGTAAGCTCCTAATTTCTTCTTTCTCCTCTGTTTTAGCGTTGTGTGCTTTCCTTCTCTGTATCTTTGTTCTGCGTTGTTACTGTCTTGGGTGAGTGGAAGGGTTGGATTCTTTCTTTCCATTTCTCCTTTGCTTGTTGGTGGGTTCAAGCTTCATTTGTTCCCTCCCTCGTTTCAGATTTATGTAGTTGTGGTTGTTGAATAGGTTATTGTAAAAGAAATAGAAAGACTGATTCTCCCTCATTGTTCTTGCTTGTTGCGTAAATTAAAGAGTAGTTTGGATCCAGGAAAATCAAAAATTAAGTTTAAAGAGCATGAGTTTTGATAAACGATTCTACTTTAATTTTCTTCTTGGGTTTAAAAAAATAAGCATGGATTGGTGCACCTGTTAGTGAATGAATGAAGTTTTAGCTAAAGCTTCTCGTATTGCATTTTCTTATTTAATTGTGCTAAGTGCTTTTGTTCTTATCATATTGCCTAGTATTTTATTTTATAAAATAGTGTTGTTTGCTGCATTTGCACTCCTCTTTTACTTAATAAAAAAATGGGGAGGTTTAAATTGTTTTTTTTTTAAGTTGAAATTGATTCTTGGCAAGGAATTCAATCTGAGAAGAATATTAAATTTAATTGATGATGATTGTATGGTTTGATATGAATGTACACAAGATATTTGATAAGTTGTTTGATAGAAGAATTTTAATCTAGGATAGCAAATAAATATGAGAAATATATTATTGTTAACTAAATTATTATAGAAGATAGTTATTATCTATAATTAAAGGTTGGAACTAACGGTAGAAAATTTTGAAAAAAGGTATTTTGGTTCATAATTATATGTCCAAGTTTGTTGTTCTTATGTTAGATTTTTGGTACATATAAAGTGTTAGATGAAATGTTTGAGTGAAGAAAGTTTATGGAATTAGATATACTTGAGTGATAATACTAATTAAATCAAGGAAGTTGTTTATTTTTTATACACTACTAGAAAAATATAAATTAATGAGAAAATTTAGCAGGGGATTTTCTATCTTTTTTTAAAATGCCAAATTAGTGAAGAAAAATAACGAGAGATAATTAATTCCTCTTTAAAATAAAATAATTAGTGAAAAAAATAATGAGCGACTGTCAATTTTCCTCTAAAATAATATAATTAGTAAGAAAAATAGTGAGGGATATTTATTCGTCTCTAACATAAAATAATTAGCGAGAAAAATAGTTAAAAATATTTATTTCTCTCTAAAATAAATTTATTAACAAGAAAAATAGTGAGAGATTATAAATTTATCTCTAATATAAGATAATTAGTAAGAAAAATAGCAAGACATATTTATGCCTCTTTAAAATAAAAAAAATTAACAAGTTAATTTTATACCTAATTAAATTTAAATTAAGATAATTAGTGAGATATTTGTGTTCTTTTTTATTTCTCTTTATAAAAAATTTATATTTTGTTAATATTTTCAAATTTTTTATCGTAAAATTCTTCTTTTCCAAAATATTTGTTGGGGGATAAAATATGCATTACAGTGTTAGGCCCCAATTCTTGATCATTCCTTCCCCCCCTTTTTTTTTTTCCAGTACTTTCCCTCCAGAATTAGTGTCCAACACTAATGCAAAAAAAAAAAAAAAAAATCACAAGGTCAACTAAACCAAAATTCATTGACCTATCTGCACTTCATCAATTCATTTATGATTCTTCCTCCGTGCGCGTGCCGCTGTCTGCAGTTGATTGACGCTATCTGCACTTCGCGACGAGCCTCTATCTTCCTCTCGTGACGCGGCCGTGCTCCTCTGTTCCTCCTCCCACTTCGTTGCTGTGCTTCTTGGTTGATCCTCCAGCACTTCCTCCTCCGGCGCAGCGTTCTATATAAAAAGGTACTGCTTCACCTTAACCATTGTCCTCTCCTTGGAAACTGTAATAACTTAAAAAAAATTTAATGTAAAATAAATTTATAATAAAGTATTGTGATTTATTTTATTAATTTTAGTATAAATATCATGAGTAAGAGAAAACGGTGCTCTAGTGATGGGACCAGGGTCTCTTCTTTTTTTTTTCTCTCTTTTCCTTCACTTCTTCCATTCCCACCATTCAAAATTTTTTATTAAATAATTTTTTTAAATAATAAAATTAATAAATGATAGAAATGGGAGAAGTGAAGGAAAATAGGGAGAAAAGAGGTGGAGAGATCTCACTTCCTCCAGTGATGTGTGCGCCTGTAAATTTCTGTCATATCTCCTTCAGTCTGAATCATCTTGGTCCAAGGAAAGATTTTTATTTTGCTTCAGCTTTGGTTAAAATTACTGTAATGCCCTTTTAAAAAATTTTAATTAATAAATAAATTAAAAAATATAACAGCTGATTCTTTTGTTTGCTCCTCATCTCCATTTTCTCGACTACTTCAGAATGAGGAGGGAGAGAAATTTGCTCTCCATTCTTCGTACACCCTCCACCTTTCTTTCCGTTCTGTCGCCGGTGATTGTGAGTGCTGGAGTCTTCCTCTTCATCCTCCTTTGAGACTGACGCCAGTGATCTCCTTACTTTCTCGAGCTGGCTCATGTCTGAACTAGGGAAGAGTAAGGCTTCGTTTGGTATGATTGAATAGTTTTTAATGGAATTGGAATCGGAATCATAATTAGAATTGGAATCAGAATTGGAATAGAATAGAATTACAAAAATATGTTTGGCATGTCAGAAAAATTAGACAGAATCCTTACATTATTTTTGTTTGGTACGTAAGACATGGAAATGAAATTATACTTAAAAGACAAAAATACCCTATATAGAAATTAAAATAAAACATAATAAAAGCTTAATTGTGTTTCAATTTCCTTATGTATTTTATATGTTAATGAAATATTATATAGATGACAGATATTATATATAAGTAAAATATTTTACAAAAAAAATTTAATTTCCTCACATGTTTAGTATATAAATAAAATATTAGATAGATGATAAATATTATATATAAGTAAAATATTTCATAGAAGAAATATTATAAATACATATATCGTATTATATTTACACATACACACATATATTATAATTGGGTGTCATCATTTTGGGTGTTGTTAGGGTTATATGTTTTTAGAACAAAATTGTCTTTCTATAATTTTTATGAGGGTAAAAGTGTCTTAAAAGTTACAATTCTATGGAATTGCCCTTGATTTCATAGCTTTAAACAAAGAATCCAATTCAACCTATTTTCATGGAATTGGGATTCTTGGGAATTATGATTCATGTCTACCAAACATCACTTTATTCAGATTCTTTTTTCAATTCCATTTCCATCTCTACAATTCCAGTCTACCAAACATGGCCTAAGAGAAAATCTGTCGCCCTCTTCCTCCTCTTCATAGCTCGCCGCTGCCGTAGGTAAATACGGCAGCTCCGTCCATCACTCAAATCGTGAGTTCTTCTTGCCTTTATGCTGTCGATTTCCTCTTTTCTTTCCTTAGCTCACTGTTCTTCTCCCTCCTCTGTTGCTAGCATGCTCTGGGTTCTTCAATGTTTTACTATGGAAGTTAGTTCGTTGTTGGAAGAGGTTCAAATTGAGGCTGTCTCTTCCCCTGCACCACCGCCGTTCTTCTTTTGCCTTTGTCATTGGGTCTCTTATTCCTCATCTTGACTTGCTTCAAGTGCGTTTGACCCTCTCTGTTTTTTTTCTTGTATGTTCTGTTTGTGTGTGTGTTTAATGATGGAGATTGTGGTTTTTTTTCCCTAGCCTTGCTGTTCTGCATGTTCGAATATGGAGAGAGAAGTTCAAGCAAGTTGACATATTAGTCTTTTGAGGACGATGAAGAAGTATGGACTTGAATTTTATTTGAGTTTAATTTGAATTTATATATGAATGAAATTAGGGAAAACTAGACTAATTCAAATATGGATATTGGAGAATTTTGAGGACAATTGTTGGGATGAATGGAAGAATTGAAGCTTGGTATTAGTTAAGATTGGATGTTTGTGAGATATTCAATGAAATAGCTATTGGAAGGAGTTGGCCCATGATGATTAAACATGTGTAATAATTTAATTATTGTTGTTTAGAAAATTTTTGGAAGGCACTTTTCTTTGATAGAAGTTGGAAGCTTGGTCATTTCAAATACTGATTTAGGACAACTTTTAGTAAAGGAATTGAAAAGAAAAAAAAAACAAAAAAAAAACACTTGGTCTTATAGGCTAAATATTGTTTAAATAAAGGGTATTTGATAAAATGTTTGAAAAGAGGAATTTTGTATTTAAAGTGGAAAAATATATGTGATAATTATATTATTGTTGATTAAATAATCTTGAAAGACATTTGTTCTTTGCAATGAAAGTTAAGGTAGAATTTAAAGGTTTTTGGGAGAGATATTTGAGTTGGTAATTCAAGAACCAAATTGCTATATGGACATTCATTTGGGATATTTTAAGATGTTTGATGCCATACTAAGAAAGATAAAAGTGAAGGTTTGCTTTCTGTTATTTATCTAAGTTGCTTTGGATTAAATAGTTTGGACAGTAAAGCATGTTTGAGGAAGTGACAATGGTATTACTTGAATAATAGGAATTTAAGGACAAAGCATTGTTCCTAGAAGATTTGTTTCGAAGTAAGTTATACACTTGGGAGCTCTACAGGTAAGTGGATAACGTTCCAACTGATTTTTCAATAAAGATTTCCTTTACTACAATAGTACATTTGTTTGCAAAATTGTTTTAGTAACAATGATGTGGTTATTGAATAGTTTGTTTATTAAACTTCTTTATTTTGTGAAATTACCTTTATCAGTTTTGAAATTTTAATTATTAATAAATATAAGTTTGGACTTTGAATTTGAGATTTCATTCTATGAACATTGGAATGATACAGAGAATGATTCATGCGAGTTTGACTTTGAAAATGAAAATTTTATTGTGAAAGTGATAATTTTCTCGCATGTTTGAAAATGAATTTGAAGAGACTTTACATAGAACACTGGTTGCTAACGGCAGTTCTGTTAGCGCTTGGCGTGCCATGGTAGACCTAGCTAGCAGGGTGCTTATAGGAGGTGCTAGCCCGTGCGATGGCCAACGCACGTGGAACGGAGGGATGGTTATTCGTGAGCATAGTATTCACGTTTGTTTCGTGGCTTCAGCTGCGTTTGGTTATTTACCCTCGTAGATTGTGTGTCCATGTTTGTATTCGTGGCATCAGCTGCGTTTGGTTATTTACTCCGTGGACTGTGTGTCCACGTTTGTTTATTGTTCTGATAAGTCCCTAAAATTGTGAATTTGATTATTTGGTGATTTTATATTCTATTGGTTTTTATTTAGTAAATTTTTACAAACATTTATTTCATTTATGTGCTTTCTTGAAACCAAGTGATAATAACATTTGTTATGATAGTGCAATGGTTTAAGATTTTATTTAAAATTTTATAGAGCTATTTTATTTTGAATTTTGTTAAATTTTTATGGAAATTGTTGTCTATTTAAATTACATAATTATTTCAAATTTGCCTTTTTATTCATGTTTAATTGTTTATTATTGGGATGTTATTCACTGAAAAAAGTATTTTTTGTCTCAGATAATGTGAATGGCTTTGGACTTCTAGTTGATCATTGAGGGCCATCTTTTGACTTGAAGTGAAGAAGTTAATGACCACCCTCCTTTTGTTGTAAAGATTTAAATATGAAATTTTATTTTGTAAATTTTATTGTAGGAGCTCCACATAACTATAGTTAAAGCCCTTATATGTGTATTATGCTTGATTTGTTTGGTAGAAGGAGCATAGCTCCTTGTTGAATGCTATTTGTTACTAAAAGAAAAAACTGTTGTAGAAATCTTGAAGTCTTATTTTGAGAATGGTCATGTTGACATTTAAAAAAAAATAAAATAAAATACAACCTTTTGTTTTATTATTCATATTGAAAATAGTTTGATTTGTTGTTAGATATATTTATGGTTCAGAACTTAGAATTTCTTAACTTAAGGCTTTTGGAATATGAGTTGTGTTTCTATATTCCGTGCCGGTCATGCCTTATTTTTAGGGTGTGACAGAAACCCATTGATTTGGTGCCAAAATGGTTTGTTACTCCTGTTGTCTTTAATCATTTCTTCAATCGTTTCTTGAATGAAATGCTTATCTGCTCTAGTTACTGGAATCTGTCTCTCTTTTCGTCTACGGACAAGTTATGGAATATAATTTGTGAGTTGTTCATCACTTTCCCCATTAGCTTCTCTAAGATTCTATGATTCATGAGCTGTCATAGTTCATACTGTAATTTTATATAGAATCACAACCTGATTACACACACACACGACTAAGTAATAGAATTAAATATGATGTGAATATATAAAAAAAGAATTAAATAGGATGTTTCATTATGTGCACAGTACTCTATGTGTTGCGGTAGACAAGCTTTAATAAATTCATGTTAGACAAAGACTAGGAAGTAAAACAATGGTTATAAATCAAAACAATTTGATGTCACACCAAACATAAAAAAATTAAAAAAAAATGAAGATGGATGTTGCCTGATGATACTTTAATGATGGGCATTTGCAAAAGAAAGCTTTTAAGTGTGTGCTTGAAGTAGTGTTAGAAGTGTAGAACCAAGGTTCAAATATTCACACACACTCAGACCTAATTGCATAACTATTGACATTGATATCCAAGAAGCATCTCATTTTAGATGAACAACTACATCGCCAAACATAAGACAAGACTAGTTTCCCATTGAGCTCTATACCATGTCCTCTGCTAGTTTCCTGACAAATGTTTGTCCAAAATAGCTTTGGCTAGGTTATTGAAGCTCACACATTAATTTATATATAAAATCATTACTGCTGAAAACAGGGGGAAAACAACTAAAAAAGGGGATCTCTTACAATTAAAAGAAGGTACGAAGCAGTCCAATCAAATCTATTTTGATAAGCCTAAAAAAAACATAACAAGGAAAGGAAAAAAAATTAGTGCTCGAGAATGAATGGCTCCTTGATTTGAGAAAAAGAAAGTTTGACACTTGAACACAGCAAGAGTCTATATCCTCAAAAAACAAAAGGAACCCACAACAGTGTACATTCTCATTGTTCCACAAAAAAAAAAAGATGAAACAAAAGCAAACCAAAAAGAAAAGCAAAAGACATTAATTTATAATTGAATTTTAAATTGAAAAGAAAGCATTGAAGATAAACCCCACATACATTAAACTTCTTCGGCCTCTGCATGCCTCTTGGATGACATTAATAACTTCGCATTTAAAATGCCTTCCTTGTTAGATTCATTATAGGGACAATATTGTGAACAAGTGCCTACTTTTAGGTAATTTATTATTCTTAGCATTATCTTAGCTAGCATAGTCTCTTGAATGTGGATTTTAATTGTTTCATTATTGGAAAATTTGTTTTTATTCAGAGGATTATAATTATTAGTATTATTATTGTGCTAATATTTTGTTTTTTTTACTATCCCTTGTTTACCTAAATCTCTTTAAGAACTCTTTTTATTTCTTTTTATAATGTATAGAGCATGAGGGTTGATAGAATTTGGATGAATAATAGAAATGATCAAAGTAAAAAAAAGGGTAACTAAAGAATTTATAAGTGATGTAGATGAGTTCCTAGAATTTGCAATATGCCAAGACAACTTTGTTTCTGATAACAAGATAAGATGCCCTTGTTTAAGGTGTTATAATAGACAGTTTCTTGATATGGATATTGTCAGAACTCATCTCTATAAGCATGGTTTTGTACCTAATTACTATCAATGAGTTTCCCATGGAGAACCTTATGTAGCCATGGATAAAAAAGAATACAATATCAATTGTAGCTCTCAACTAGGTGATGGTAGTATGCCAATCGTAGATCCTTATCATAGAATGGTCTTAGAAGCTGCCGTTCCTAGTTTTTGTCCAAATGTATTTGATGAGGATGACATATTTGTTGGATATGAAATGTTTAGAGATGATGGAGAGCTTCCTAATTGTGAGGCTAAGAAGTTTTATGTAATGTTAAAAGTTGTAGAGGAGTCAACTTTTCATGGGCGTAAAACTCATTCTATATTGTTTGTGGTAACAATATTATTGAACATCAAATCTAAATTTAACTTGAGTGAAAGTTGTTTTAATTGCATTTTGCAATATATCAAAGAACTTCTACCCAAAGATGCAAAATTGCCAAATGACTTATATAAGACAAAATAGATAGTGAGTAAGCTTGGGCTAGGGTATGAGAGAATACACGTGTGTGTTAATGGTTGTATTATTTATTACAAGGAACACAAAGACAAAATCACTTGTTCAATATGTGGTCATCCTCGTTATAAACCTAGAAAAAAAATGTGATAAGTAAAAGCATAATATACCTTATAAGGTTTTAAGATACTTGCCTCTTACCCTTAGGCTACAATAGCTATACATGTGATCAAAAACATCTGACCACATGCCATGGCATGCAACAACTCGTTGAGAGTCAGGGATGATGAGTCATTTATGTGATGGGGAGGCATGGAACCATTTCAATCAATGCCATCCTTCTTTCGCTGCGGAACCTCGCAATGCTGATTAGCTCTTGCATTTGATGGTTTTAGTTCTTATGAGCAAATATCACATACTTATTCTTGTTGGTTAGTAATTGTCACACCATATAACTTTTCATTAGGAATGTGCATGAGTACCCCTTATATGTTATTAACTCTTGTTATTCATAGGCCAAAGAGCCCTGGCCAAAATATAGACTTGTATTTGCAACCTCTTATAGAAGAGCTTAAAACATTGTAGGAAGATGGTGTAGAAACATATGATTGTTTTAGAAAACAAAACTTTCAACAATGAGCTGCTATTATGTGGACTATAAATGTGATGATCCAGGAATTAAGTAAAATTTAAATGTATAAGTTTGTATTTTAATAGTAGTTATAATAATTTTTGGAACGAATGTGACAAGAACGAAAGCTGATGTAGTGGCAGTTGAACATGTATGCTTTCATCAGGTCACAAGATCGCATTTGTTTAGGCCAAGGGGCTTAATTTTTTTTATGTTATGAAATTACTAAACTACCCTTATCACAATCATAGATTTTAACCCTTCTTTCTTTCCTTTTTTGATTATTCTAGATTAGAGAGAGATTGAGAGCTCTGACCAAACCATTGCCCTGCCTCCTACCGATCTCTACCTTCTTCCTTCTCAACCATTGGTCGCGTCGCTATTTACGTTGTGCTTGTTGCTAGTTCTTTTGCCACAGTTATGAATTCTTCCCCTGTTTCACAGCTAATCCTTCGCCTTTGTCATTACTTCAAGTATGCTTAGTCTTTCCTTTCTCATTGTTTCATGTACGTGTAAATGCTTTGGGT